CCAGGTTTCATAGGACTGTCCCACTTTGACCCCCCAGACTGCCTGCCCCAGTTGAAGTGACTTCTGGTTCATGGGGCTGGCTCCCTATTCTGGGCACTGTGACCTACCCCCGGTGCACAGGGTCGCAGCATCACTATTTTGGTCCAGCTCCCCTCACAGGTGGGCAGCTGGCCCACATTTGAGTGAGTGGTGCTTCTGCATCCCAGCCACCAGTGGTAGTTTCACCTGTTGTGGAGTAAAATATTTTCATCTATATCCCTGGCATCCAAAGTTTACCCACTGATCAACTGTCCATAGGTGTCCAGCAGCAGCAGAGAGTATCTGGTCAGCAAGTTTATAGCAGCATTAAAGCTGGCAAATAAAGTTGATGCAATTCTCTGATCTGACGCTATAAAAACAATCTGTTCCTGATGAGCTGACAGAGAATTATTTATGTTTATTACATTGCTGCTTCTGTTGTGGCTCAGCATGGTAAGAGGTGCTATCCTGTTTCTCTGTTTGCAATATGAGCTCAAGCCTACACATGGCCAAATTCACCCACCCCCGTCCCTCCCAGATACTAGTACTCTGGCATGTATTTCAAAGTAAAAGAATACAGTTATTCTGTAATTCAGTCACAATCCTGCTGAACGGATGAGTTTTTGTAAAACTGAAGTCTAAGGGCTCAATACTTCAAATACACAGGCCTTCACTTGTCCTCAGCTGGCTAGGTGCCTGCTATGTGACCTCTCTTTCCTCTCCCCTCCTCCACAACCACGCACTAGATGGCTATATACACTATCCAATCCAAACATTAACACACACAATTTTTATCAGGGTCAGCAAGAATTAAAAACCTGAATATGTTGTTTACATTTTATGAAATACATTTTATGAAAGCAGGTTCTCTCAGGCAGAAGCGACTCTGTCCCACTCCCCGGACAACTGCCAGGGAGAGGGGCCGGCTAACCGTGCAAGGGGGAGGCACAAAGAGAGAAGGACAGAGAGCTCTCCCTTCCCCCCACAGGTAATGTGGGGCAGGGAGAGTGCTGTGGCCCTGGGCTGGGCACAGGGTGGGAGGGGTTACTGGGCAGGGGATACACATGGGTCAGTCACGTATCCTCCCCTTTAGCTTGTGCCCCCCCAGTATGGGGAGGCACTAGTCATCTATGCCTGGTGGGCTGCCCCCACCCCCTCAGCTCCCCATTCCCCATTGGGAATGAGAAGAAGCAGCCCGGGGCAGAGCAGGGTCCAGATGCCCTGACTCACCGCTCCCCCATCCCGCCAGGAGCTGGGCAGCCTTGTCAATTTCACAACTGAGCCATGAAATTGACAAGACAGCCAATGGTCCCAACCCAGCGCGGTGGGGGAAGCCCCCCCGGGCTTCTTTCCCTGATTCCCAGCTGAGAGCAGGGTCCAGCCAACCAGATCTCCAGGGTAGCGGGGGAGGAGGGAAGCTGGGCTCTGGCTGCCTGACTTTCTTGTCAATTAGAGGGTTCCTGCTGTGAAATTGACAAGACAGCCAACAACCAATGTAAGTAACACAGTGTCTACAGACACTGTGTCACACCCACATAAGCCCTACAATGCTACACAAACAGGTGGCTGTGATGTTATCTAATATAATCATGCAAATCATTCCCACGTGGTGCCCAGGCACCAGCAATATTCAGAGCCCAGGGGCCCAGCTCCAACAATATTTGGGGCCGGGTGTCCCCCTGACCCCACCTGCTGCCCCCCCACACCTCCCCGGAGTGTCCCCCAGCCCCCTCTTGCTGCCTCCACGCACAGTCCCCAGAGCAGAGCGTCTCTGCCTCTTGCTCCATGCTGCCTCCCTGCAGCAACTGCTGTCTCAGGGTCCTAGTGCCCCCCATCTCTACTGCCAGGGCAGACTGACTCTGAGCCTGCCCTTCCACCTCAGACCCTTCCCTTTTCCGACAGGACCCTCCACCAGCACAGGGCCCTCCCGCCCCCACCCGCAGTCACCGCTCCTGCCCCATGCTGGGCAAGGAGGCAGCCCCATCCCTCACCCCCAGTGAGGCTACAGTCAGGGGCAACAGCAGGGGAGGAGGCGCACACAGCACCCCCCGGCACCCACCACGGGGGAGGCGATAGAGATTCCTGGACCTGAGAGAAGTCCTAGGAGCACATGCAGTGACAGTAGTGGGGGTGAGTGTGCTGCTGGGGGGGGACACAGGAAAGGGGGGCTCCTCCCCCAGAGCTTGTGCTGCCAGCAGGGAAAGGGCTGGGGGGGGGGGCGAGTCCTCCTCTCTGACCCCTGTCCCGGAGCAGCCTGCCTGCTCCCCAAACTCATCCCTAGCCCTGCCCCACCCCAAAGCCTACACCCCCAGCCAGAGCTTTCACCCCCCCACCACACCCTCAACCCTCTACCCTAGCCCTGAGCCTCTCCAACACCACAAACCCCTCATCTCCAGCCCCAGCCAGAGACCTCATCCCCTTGCACTCCAACCCTCTGCCCCAGCCCTGAGCCTCTCTAACACCCTAAACCCCCCAGCCCCAGACAGAGCCCTCACCCCCCACACACACTCCTACTCTTGCCCTGAGCCCCTCCCACACCCCAAACCCCTCATCTACAGCCACAGTCCTCCCCCCACAGCCCTCACCCCTGCACCCCCTCTCATCCCCAAACTCCCTCCCAGAACCTGCACCCTAATCCCCTGCCCCAGCCTAGGGCCTGCATCCCAGGCCTCCTCCCCCACCCAAATTCCCTCCCAGAGCCTTGGGCAGGTGGGGGGTGGAGTTTGGGGAGGGGCAGAATTTGGGCAGGGGCGGGTTCTGGGCACCACCAAAATTTCTACAAACCTGCCACCCCTGAGCATTTGAAGTAACAGTAAATATCCAAACTGGAGGCTGCATCAGTAATACCAGTACAATTTAAATTCTGAATTGATAAAATTCACAGAAGGACAATACAAGACTGGTACAAAATAAGGCTTAAGTGGGACTTAAGTAATGTGTGTGCCTTGTGCTATCCCTCTGTATGAGATGTGTTTCATGATATATATATTTTAAAGTTTATTAAAAGGGCACATTCCATCCCTATTGTTCTCTAGTAATACTACAATAAGAACAATATATGACTTCTTAGAAAATCACTCAAGCAAAACATTTTGTTAAGGAGTAGTTAAAGTTGCAGGCTCATATCAATAGTCTGAGTGTATGTTACCGTTTGAGAACGGTGGTGTAAAAAAACGTGTGCACATAACACACCTGTCTAAGATTAAAAATCCAGGAAATGCAGAATTAAAGTTGTGCTTGTATAAAAATGTGTAAAAATGGTTCAACGAACAAACAAAAAAAGTCAACCAAAATGTGTTGGCATTTCACTAGCGTAATATTCATATACTGCTAACAACGACTGAAGATTGGGATCAATAAATGCAACATTTATAACGTCCATCTGGCATTGATCACCTTTCTTAGCAATGCTTAAACTGGTGCATCTGGATGATAAGCATATGTAATCCACTGCTCAGGGCATGTTATGTGTCCCTTTCATTTCAGTGCCTTATCCACAGAAGAAAGGAGTCTGCTACAGCTGCCAGCTAGGTGAATATAGCTCTGATTCAGGAAAGCACTGAAACGTGCAGTTTTAAGCATGAGTAGTCTCATTGACGGCAATGATTTAAGCATGTGCCTAAGTGTTTTTGGGAATTGGGGCCTTAGTCAAGAGGCTCATGCTTAAAAGTCTGCAGAGTGACTTCAATCATGCTTGCAGCCTTTCATTAAGGACAGCTGATTGGGAACAAAGATAGTCAGGTATGACTCTCCTTCAATGATCAAACATAAGAAAAGAGTAAATCTGTGCAAGGTAGATAGTAATTTATATAGCCATTTAAATAATCTGTGCTTGACTACAGATTAGCAACCCAACAGTATGTTCCTTATCGCTGTTCTCGTATCTTACATCTCATTTTTTTCATATAAAAACAAAAGGTTGGTAAAATGGGTCTAAAAAGTCTACAATAAAAGTGTTCCAAGCTGAAAAGCTCTGTGTTAAGCAAGGTTAGTAAGAGCTTTGTAATTTCTTTGTTATGATGCACTTTAGGTATTAGTGGGGGTTCTACTTAGTTGCCAGAGACAGTGACTTCCAGAGAACGGTGGCTTTTTCAGTACTTTTCAGCTCTTCCACTCTGGAAGTTTCTTAAGGAGATGGTGTCAGTGTAACTGTAGAGATGCAGTTGCAGTTACAGTTATGTGCATGCACTAGCCAGTTTGTTTACTGTGTCACCGTGATTGAGCGATTGCTAAAGCAGGGCTGCAATCTGAGCTCCTCTGGGAACTGGATATAAAAGGAAATCATCCTTTCCCAGTTCCCACCTCCCCTGGATTTCCAGCTCTCTCTTCTCTTCACATGCCCTTCACTTCAGCCAACATGTTGTGCTGACAACTACAGCAGCAAGGTTCAAAACTAAAAACCCCAGTATAGCCTTTCAAGAGACAAAAAAATAGAAGGCTGTGGGGGGAAGAGGATAACTGGGAACAAGTTTACTCTGCATAATTTTACTCTTCTCGCTTTGGTTCTGGCTTTTTCCTGGAAACAATATCCACTATGCAACAGCATTAAACCCTAGCAGAGTCACAAAGTATTTATCAAAAGTAAATATATATAATTTCTACTGCAAACAGCCTAGCTCAATATTTTTAGGGCAACAGAATAGCCTATTTTGTATACACCTATTGTATATATTATTTGCAAAGAGATTTCAGTCTATTAATTGAAATTATATTTAGACATCAATATATGAATTGCAATTAGAATTTAAATACACACAACCCATATTTATTAACTAGAATTCTCCATGTGTGGAGGCACTTGCAAGAATTAGCTATTAGACACAAGACTAGAGACATCTCACTGTTTCCCTCACATTCAGACCCAGGCTCACCTGGTAACTAGTACATACACATCCCATACTTAGACAGCAGTTAATTCACAAAATAACTGATCCTGGTGGAGAGAGGGTAGGGGTGAAACATACATAACATGAGTAACCTACCGCTGTAGACCCAGAGGATGTGGCTACAAAGACTTTGATCACCATTTTGACCGTTATAGAAGAGAACCACCAGAACAATCCTGTTATCTACAAGTCACCAGAGCCCTGAGAGTGAGCCTGACATGCAGCAGCTCCCAGGGCAGCCAGAATCCCTTCCCAAATGAATCTCCCCTCCACATCAATCTAACTAGTTTTAGCCTCTCCCACCCACTGGTATCCTGGGCTTCCCCAACTTCATTGGCTCTTTTAGGTATTTTGGGAGCCTAGAAGCTGGGAGAGGATTGGTTGGCAAAAGTATCTAAAGCAGAGGGACTTGCACCTGCCCCTAGCCTTTTCACTTTAGAATTGACCGGGTGACAGTCCATAAAAGGCAAGGGAGAGCAGTGCACCAATCAGACAGGGCAAGGAAAATGCTGGTGGGGAGGGGAAAGAGTGTTGGAAGAGTTTGCAAAGCTGCAGGACAAAGTTTAAAGGGATGTCAGCATTTTCATAATAATCTCCTGTATTCAAGAGCTCACACCCACTCTCTGACTAAAATAAGGAGCCTCAGTTTGAAGCTTATATGCAACATAACAGCCACAATCTCTACCTTTAAAAACAAAACAATTTGGAAACAACAATTCTGAGATCAGCCTGAACTAAAGCCACAGTTCCAAACACTCTGAGGCTTTGGGAAATTCAGATCAGGATCCAAACTTTATGGCTCTGTTTTCTCTTTGCAATATATGTTAGGTCATTGTGGATTAATTTTGGTGTGGGTGAGATACGGGGAGGCATACGGATGACCCCATGCCTGAGACCCTAAAAAACAAGTATTTCTGTACTCTGTGTGGCCAGTGAAGATCCCATGGCACTTTTTGCAAGAGTGGGGCCAGGTTTCCTTGTGAAAATATTCTCTTCTCTGAGTAGTACAGGGCACTGGTTTTCCATCTGACTGCTGCTTTCCCTCCTATAGACTGCTGCCTGTCAGTGGTGCTGTATACACATATTGTTTAGCTTTTGGGGATCTTTCAGAATGAATGTTATTTTAGGAATGTGCAATATTATCACATATTTTTTTAATTGTAAGGGCCAAATTCACCACTGGTGTAGTAGGCTCAACTCCATTGATTTCAATGGAATTGAGACTCCTAATGCCAGAGGTGAACTAGGGCTCAAGAATTTAGGCCTCAGTTCTGCAAAACATTTTAAAATGTTTAACTTTAAGATTCAAGGCTTCAAGGCTCCAATCCTGCAAATTCTTAATACTGAACATAGTGCTAACTACGATTGACTCCAATAGAGTTATACTCATAGTAAGCAGTAACAATTGAATTTGGCAAATGACTTACTACCTATTAGGACCATTATATAATTTTAAAGATACATTGCTCTGTTGTGTGAAAAATTATTTCCATCTTTATGTAAATGGGATTCTGAAGAAATTTATTGAAAAAGACAACAGAATGGACACTTTACAAAGTTCACTATTTCTCGATCTCTGTCACCTGCTTCTCCAATAAGGAGACAAGAGGCAGTCTTGCAAGTAGTGAAGACAGGTAGTAAAAAACCTTCGCTGACAATTTTTCTAAAAAAAAAAGAAAAAGAAACTATGCCAAAAAAATGGTGCTTCATGCTAAAACTTGGCATACAAGCATTTACCCAGGAGACTTTTTTTACTAAATTCAACACAAATTATTTTAGCAGAGAGCAATTATATGAATTCAAAGAAACTTGGACTGTGTTTTTTGATAAATGTGGATAAAGAATGCTTAGATAGCTCAAATAATGCCAGACTTCCATTGCATTGGACCTCTCTGTTTTTTCCCTCCATCCTGCCCCACTCCCTCTCCCCTCTTTCCTTTTCTTGTCTATTTGTGTGTGTCTTTTATTATTGTTACCCCCCCACCCCCCGCCCACACCATGTTATGTCTTTGTAATATTGTCTGGTCGTGCAGCTCTGACAAGCTGTATAACGGAATAATTCTATTGGATATCCTGCAAAATGTGCAATATCTGGTAACACATACAAGCTGTGAGTCATTTACCTTTTTGTGTTTTTATGGTTTCTTTATGAAAATTAATAAAAAACAATCACAAAATAAAGATTTTAGCCAGTTTTGAACTATTATTTTTATTTATTGATTTGTATAGCATCTTTTACAGGTCTCAGAATGTTTTGCAGAATTACAAATGAAGGGTCTGATACTGTAATCATTTTCTACAAGTCATAGTGCCAACTATCATGAATAGTCGTGCCATTAATAATTATTAAACACACCAGTATTTG